AGGGTGTGCTTGTATCCTGATCTCTTCATTACAGAGGTCTGCGTAAATAAACATGACACAAGATGCCTCCTTCCTCTTGCTGTTTTTTAGCTGGTGACTGCAGGCATTGATAGAGCAATGTGAAGACATTTATCTTAGGATAACACCATTATCTATGCTGTAAATGCAAAGATGAGCAGCCCTCATCTGTCATGTTTTACACCTAGCCTGGGGCACGTAGCACATGATGCAAACTATGAGTTGTGAGGCTACTGGAGACAAACTGTTCACATTGGACTTGGTCCCCATACCTTTCTGACATGCCAGGTCCCTCCAGAAGCAGGCACTGCCTTTTCTTCTGTACCTTTTTACCAGAAATATTTATTTTTTTTTTTCCAATAATGAGCTCATCCCCTTTTGCTATGCCCTCAGTTCCCTGAAATCCAGTTGAGTTTACTGCAGTGTCAAATTAGAGATACATCCCTCCAGTAAAACCAAGAGGAGGCACAGAGCAGAACAACTGACTTTACTAAGTAAATGCAACACGCACCCCTTTATTTACACTCTTTTTTTATGCCAGAAAGCCAAGAGGAAGCACAGCATTGACCTTGTTGAAGCAGCTGCTGCCTCTGCGCACCCCAGCTGCTGTTTCAACTAGTCAGCCCTTTCCACAAGTGCAGCACATGGAGCATAGATGGAAGAAGACACCATTCCAGGGACAAGCCAAGCCTCTGCAAAGCCCAAGGGGTGTGTGGTAGAGAAAAGCATTCTGGTCTAGCAGCAAAATGTACTTTAATTCCAGTTCTGTGATATAATGCTTTGATGCCAGAGAAAACAGTATCAAGGAAGAAGACAGCAGCCCCAGGAATGAAAGATAATGTAGAAATTGTGTGAAGCAATTTCTTCTTATATAATGGGAAAGGAATAGTTATTAGGAACTTCATAGTGACAGTAGGAGGTATGTAGGAGAGAGATGGCAAGATCAGAGACAAGTGTCTCGGGAAGTAAAAGGTAAAGGAGAGTGGAGGGATAGATGGGGATGGAGGGTATGCAAACAGGGAGGCATGGGATGAGGTTATGTGAGACTCAAGCTCAGATGAATGGAGGCAAACAGTGCTGGTGGAAGGTTTGCATGGACAGGAGTGCTTCAGGGAGTAAACTCTAAGAAGGAGGAAGAAGGAAGACCATGTAGACAGGACTGAGAGGGAGAGAAGAGTTTGGAAGGAGAAGCAAGAGGCCCCCAGGGAAGGGAAAGCTTGCACTAGCGGGTGAGAGGCACTCCAGGGCTGGCATGAGGTATGGTTTGCTATTGCTCTGAATGCTGTAAACATTTTGGTTTTGTGTCTATCAGTGAACATTCAGTTCAGTTTGATACATGTGCTCTTATGGGTAACTGGAAGCCTAACAGAGTTTTACATCTCTTACTACTAGTCAAACTTACACACAAGGCAAACACAACACTGGGCTAAAAATCTTCTTTTATGTTATTTATGCCTAATTCTCCTATTTTAACATGCACATCTATGTCTTGGAAAAGTTTCTCTAGTAGGAGACACTAAATAACATACACTTGAAGTCACATGCACTCTCACCCACCCACACCTGCAGACACACATACCTGTTTCCACCTCCTGCTTAGACTAGCAGAACTTTGCCCTTCACATCTTCCCAGCATGGAGGGCAAGAACCCACTGGTACATTAACAAGTCCAGTAAAAGCGATGGAAATCGTCCCAGACCTGGCTGATGGACCAAAGTAGGAGAAAGTCAAAGCAGACTGGAGTTCTGCATCTGCTTCTGGAGTTAAGAACACCTGAAGCTTATAGACAATCTCTAAACACTTCTTCCATTTTGCTGTCAAAGGACTTGGGAGCTGACTGGATACGTGCCAGCAAACATACAGAATAAAAAGAGCTGAGAGAAACAATTATTTTTCCTCTCTTCGTGTGATGGCATACACTGACATTACTTGAAACTGGAAGAAAATGTTGGAGGTGTGTGCTTGTGGAGAGGGGAAATAGGGTTTGTAAGTCATGAATATCCCGTTCACATAAGTAAGAGATGAATCAAAGATAGGATATTTGTCCTTGAAGGGGATTAGTCATCACTCAGTGCTTTCTGAAGCTTTGGCTCAGTCATTATTTCCTTAATTTCCCCTGGTTTAAGGGGAAGAGCTATAGCTGCCTATTTTAATTCACTTCAGACTGACATTCGGTATGAAAGAAGCGGCTGGTGCCAATTTCTTGGTATAAAAAAAAAAACCACCAAACAAACAAACTTTAAATAACTAGTCTGTTTTCCTTCAAGAAATACAAACTGTAAGAGAAGCAACAAAAATAACCGTGATAGACTCACGTGCATCAGACAATCCGTTTGGTCTACTCTATGCTTATAGGAAATTTGCCATGGAGGATATTATCTGGCACCAATTTAATGGGAAAAACACTTCTCCTATCAGCCAGCATGATAGGGTTCCTGTCTCTCAGCAGCTGTGTCTCTGAATAAACCTGCTCAAAGCTATTCCCCCGGCGACCCAAACTCGCCGGATTTCTGCTCGGCTAACCTTAAGACGGGCTCACTGAGCACCCGGGGCCGCATCTGCAACAGCACAGCCTGTCTCTGTCCAAGGGGGGCTGCAGCGTGAGCGTGGGGGTGGCCCCCCCAGATTGTCCTTGCCAAGGAGAAACATGACTGCTACTGCTGAACCCAGGACAGATGGGGAGAGAGGGGAGCTTGGTTTTTATAGGATGTCGGTTACTTTAAAGTTTTTCCACAAGTTCAGTCATGAACTGAAAGAATGACAACACCAACACTAGAGGAGCTTGCTGAGAAATGTTACCCCCCGGGCTTCTGAAGTCACACTCTGAACAGGACCAGCCTTTGTAGCCATCAGGGAAGCCTCACTTCTGAGTTTCTGTTCCTCATTCCTTGACACAAATATCTTATTTCTGCTGTTTCCTCATTGCCTTCTTTTTCTGTGACCCTCACCATCATGGGTGGCTGCAGGCCACGTTGCTGAAAAACCTTGTCTGGAATGCGTCAGCTGGCACTAGAGGTCAGCATCGTCAAAGCCCACCCAGAAGACGTATCAGTGGCTTTAAGAATACCATAAAGCACTTTACATGATGTTTCTGCCTTCTCTTTAAAAGCAATGACTTGCATAAGCCTGCTGCAGCTGTCCCCCACATCCAGGGCAGCACTGAAATGGTTTTTGCATGTGCAATCAAGAGGAGGCTGAAATGGAGGAAGGCAGGGCCTTTCCTTCATCCCTTGCAACACAACTCGTTTGACACCACAGCACTGGGAAGCTGAGCTGCTGTGTTGCAGTGGTTGGATCACCAGTCACTGTGCCATTTTGTGGTCACACTGACACTGGTTACAACTGGCACCACGAGCTATCTCAGGGGGAACTATTTCAGCCAAAGCAACCTGTACCCGAGAGATCCCAGTCCAGCCTGTTTTATACAGGTGTAGCAGACACAGTGTTCCTTGGCGAGTTCTTCTAGCTCCTCCTCACATTCAGTGGCTTTGCATCCTCTCTTGCATGTCAAGCATCGTTTCACCGCAATGTGGGGTGGTTTGCCCACCTCTTTCCCTTTCACCTATAACAGGAGGTAATATGTATAAATGATGTGACTCTGTTCCACTTCCTGTAGTCCAGGTATCATCAGCGACAGCCACTGGATGCTTGCCTCTATATCCTTTGCTTCTGCCTTTGACTTCTTCCAAAGCATTGCACAGGTTTCCCCAGACACCTGTACCACTAGACCTTCTTTGCAAGGTACCTTGTTTGCCATAAAGCTATGGGCCTGTGAACAGGTGGCCAGTTGAGTTGCTGCATAATGTAGACCCCTTGAATGAATCATGGCAAATCTGGGGCATTTTCCAGACCTTGCTCATTGCTTGCATTTTCAAATAAGCAGCAAAGAAGTTTGCATGGAGCCGCCACAGTGAAATTTGAAAAGTAATTTCCTGATCTGGAGCTTTGTCTCTCTGAACACATGGCATTATGGACCTCACGTAACTCAGCAATTTCAGGAGTTGTGCCATTGAGCCTGAGCATGGCTACAGAATGCTACATCTCTCAACATGCTTCAGACCCTGCTTCTCAAGTTACCTTGCAGGGGCAGAGGACAGCCAGGAACACTGGTTCAGGATGCCAGAGCATGCTGTTCTTTCTGGCCAGTCCTTGGAAAAAGGTAACTGGAGATGGTATTTGCCTACCAAAGAACTGGAGAATTCTAGAGATGACCAAGCAGGTACTGAAAAGCAGGTTTCCCTACTGATATAAATCTTGCACTTGCACTGAATTTAGACTTTAGTGTCATAGCAACCACAGGAATGCACCTCCAAAATAAACAAGTATGTTTACCACCTCTATCTTGCTTCTAAACTTATTTGTCCTAATGTCCTGCTCAGCATCCTTACAGAAAGCCTCAAAACCCGTTTCCTACCTAAAGCAGGCTTTACTATCCAAGCAGGTTTTTGTATCTCATTCCATACACATTATGCTTAACTTCAGAATTCACTCTACCTTGTTTACACCACATTACACTAAGTATCACCAGCTTTCTGATGTATCCAACCTACCCACCACCCTCAACCAGAGCAGAGGTTTATAGCCTCTGATCTGTGGATGCTTGAGAGAAGGAAAAGATCCAAGGGGTCACTCTCCAGGCCTTCATAAAACTAAGTAAATAAACCTCTGGTCTGTAGGCTCAAATGCACGGACAGGCTGTCTGCTTCTCCACTAGAAAATATTGCAAGAATCTGGCAGCTGATAAGCTAGAACAGCAATGCCGTAGAAATGGGGCCTTCAGATGGTATTATTGCACAGCACAGAAGAGGTGCTTGCTACACAACTGACATCTGCACAGAGCCTTCTCCCACAGCTGCCTATCCAAGCTATGGGAGAAGGGCCATAGAACACTTCACACATCACTTCACAAGCAGACACTCATCCTGCTCACTGCATGTTTCCCTGTGTCCTGTTTTTAAGCAAGCATCATGCAGAAAAGTCTCTGTTTTAGCAGATCTTTACATGGTATTGAACCCGCAGTGGAAAATTCGTAGGTAACAACTACAGTCAATAATCAGCAAATGACAAAAATGTAATTGTGATTTTTCATGTTATCTCTCCCTGCTATGCAGATGTAGTATCTCCCTACAGATACTACATGAACAATGCTATCTACCATAGAAGACAGGTCTTGTGCTCTTTGCACATCTCAGCATGGGGCAGATGGGACATTCCTTCTCTCAACTCTTTACTAATGGTAGGTCATTCTTGAGAAGCCACCAAGCCTGTTAATGTAATGGTGGCTAGGAACCTCTTTGTCTTAGGTTTTGGGGCAGTGCCTAGCACAATAGAGCCTGAATGATGACAGGGGTCCTGAGGCTGAACTACAGCACAAATAAATGCTATTAATGAAAAACAGACTTGCCTGACCAGGTCTAGTGAGAGCTTTTGGGATTACATTCCTCATGAGAAAAATTTAGCTCCTTGACAGGAAAATAACTCTTAATCTCCATCCCTGGGAGATAAGGGGCTGTGACAGGGTAGCAGCTGGTGTTACAAGGTGTGCAATCAAAATGGGAAGGTGAGCTGAGTTCATTGATGGTTTCCACTCTGGGAAGCAGCATGAATCATGTGCCTTTGCCTTCTCTCCCCCTCCTCATGGTCCCTGGATCCAGACGCCAGCAGCCAGTGTGGGAGAAAATGTTCAGACTGGACTTGGCTTCACACATTTCACAACTGCCCTTAGGGCCCTTCCAAACACAGGGGAGAGGTGAGAGCCAGGGAGAGGTCTGGAAGGATGGAAAGGTGCAATGGCATTATTTACACACAAACCAGCATAGTAATTTCAAAGGAAACTTCCCTTCCCAACAGATGACCCCATGACTAGAAAGGATTATGGGTTTGTGCTAGAGGGGCAACAACTGCAAGGTGCTACCACTAACCAAAAAAAAAAGCACAGAAAGAGTCCTAATACCACATCTGGATCACACTCTGGAACCTCTTCTTCCCTTTCTCCCTCTTTTCTCATTCCCACTGTTTTTAACACCAAGAAAGTTTCACATTTAGACATGGTTTCTCACTGTTGTGGGAAGCACATGGTTTCTCAGGGCCCCATCGCTGCTTTAACTGAGCCTCCTCTGGGTTTGAGACAGCAGGTCTGTGTAAATTTTGGACCTCAGGAACCTGGGGTAAGAGTCTTTCTCCATCAGGCTGTGCACCTTCCCCTGGGCTTGGTCAAAGCAAGAGAGGGAGGGCTCCTGCATATTTCTTCTTGTCAGCTCCCGTGTCTGGAAGTCTATGTTCACCTGGGAAAAGCAGCAGAAGAGAGTTTGGTTCCGAGTGACCAGTTTGCCTCCTTCAAATGGCATATTTGTCTCATCTATAGCTGTAAAAGCAGCAACAGAACTAATGTCCTGCTCTCATCCATGCCTAAACAGCCCCTCGAACTCTGAGGGGTTTAGCAGTCCAACATATATAAATACTGCCCCAAATTTGGAAAAGCTGAATGAGATTTATAGTGACCTGAGCACTTCTGAAATCAAATTCCTTTTATTCAGGCTCTTCAGCACAGGTTTATGTAGCACATCTTCTAAGAAATGCTGAGTCAGCCTAACCTCTCTCCTGTTGATCAAGATTTCTCTGGTCCCTTGATTCTTCACTACAGCCCAATATAAGGGTGACTGAATTTTTAGCTGGGTTTATACTATTACTACATTCTTACTAAATGTTTTTAAACTGTACTGTTATGGATTGTTTGATTTTTCCCGTAACAGCTTCGTGTTACAGTATCTCAAGTGAGGACTTGGTAAAATAAACCGCGCTCACATTATGACTGCCGTTTGTTTGCAAAGCCAACAATGTGAGTTTTCCTGTTTTCTTTCCCTATTGAAGCAGTCAGCATTTGTTATGGTTATGGTTTAAAACCTGGGTGAAAATATGTTATTTATTGTTATTAACCCAGTGTCCAGTCTTCAAGGTGTCTAAAAAGTAAAGCTGTCTGCCTTAGCTCAGATCACAGCTATATAGATTAACTCTCTGTATCACTTAAGGGTCATTTCACATTCCAGCATGCCAGAATAATGAAAACAGGACCAAATTTTAGGAAAGACCTCATCCAACCTGCACTCACATTTCTAATCCAGATTCAGCCCTGCAATCCTGAAAATCTCACCCAGCTTCAGGAATAACAGCAGGAAGATGCTCACTGAGGGTGATGGGGATTGAATCGTGTCCCTAGACGCCCACATCCCCTTGCTGTGGGTGCTTCCTCATGGCCTCGCAATAGCCTTTCTAGTTCAAAGATGGAGTAAAGAGAGCCCTTATGCGGGGATCCCCACACAGGCATGTGTATTATGACAAGCACCCATGCAGTCTACCAGAGGACCACCGTGAGAGAGCAGGTGCAGTAATCACCCTCCTGGTTGTGTTGTGAATACAATAACACAGCCCAACATCAGGATGCAGGATCTGACAGTCACATAGCCTGAAAGAGGACTTAACTCCAAGCTTCGGGCTATGAGTGCACTTTTTGTTCAGCTCTGAGTTATTGATCTCATCTTTTAGGAGGTCTAATTGAGTTGGGAGTTAGTCAGCAGATAAGTACCCTTCCCCAGAGAGTCAACAAGTTAGTCATTTGTGGGATGCTTCTCTGCAAAATGTCCTGCAAGAAATGAGCCTAATAGCCTGCTCAGGGATTGATAGTAAATGAGAGGAGCAAGGTCAAATACTCCTAGGAAGCTCATAGAGGTTACGAAATGTAGGTTGCAGTTGCCAGTGAACTCACTGGCTGTGACTAATTTAGCATCATCAAAGTGGCTGCCCTCACCATGGGATGAGTCACCGTGAGCAGAGGCAGTTATAGCAGAAGGATGGCATTCCCATCCTTCTTATCCTTTCCTCACCATCACCTCTGGGAGGAGAGGGAGAGCTCCCCGGCACCCTGCAAGTCCCTGTTGGGGGAAGTGAACCTGCTTCTCGTGCCACAGGGATGCTCTGCCTGCCCAGGGTGCTGGCATACCCACCTCTCGAGGAGCCTGCACATCAATGAACTCCTCAAAGATCCTCTGAGCCTTCGAGGCCAGCTTGGCTGCTGAGCGGGTCTTCTTGAAGTCCTCACAGGCAAGCCAGAACTCCAAGTTTTCCTCACTGAACTCTGTCTTCAAGAAAGCACGGAAGGCAGCCAGCCCATCTGCAAGAGAGACATGGGGAATTACAGCAGGAGAAGAAAGAAGGTGGGGAGCAGTCTCTTTAATAGACGTTGTTGTAGTTTAGCCCTGCCAGTAACTCAGAACTGCACAGCCATTCACTCACCTTCCTCTTTTCCCCCCTGCTCCTGGCAGGATGGGGAGGAGAATTGAAAGAATGTAAATCCCACTAGTTGAGATAAGAACAGTCCAGTAACCAAAGTGTAATACAAACCCACTACCACTAATAAGGGAAATAAAGAACAGAGAGAATATAAAACTAAGAAGGGAAAGGAAAAAAACAACAAACACAGGTGATGCACAATACAACTGCTCACCACCCGCTGCCGACTGATATCCAGCCCAACCTGAGCAGTGATCTGGGCCTTCCAGGTGACTCCCCCCCATTATATACTGGGCATGACATGCTATGGTATGGAATACCTCTTTGGCTAGTTTGGGTCAAGTGTCCTGTCTCTACTTCCTCCCAGCTTCTTGTGCCCCTGCTCACTGGCACAGCACAAGAGACAGAAAAGTCCTTGATCAGGGTATGCATTGCTTAGCAACAACCAAAACGTCGGTGTGTTGTCAGCATCGTTCTCAGACTAAAGCTGAAACACAGCACCGCACCAGCTACTAGGAAGGAGAAAAACAGCTGGTACAGCTGAACCGAGGACAGACATCTTTCCATCCAACCCTGCCTACTAAGGACCATTTGATTTTTCTCCCCAGGTCTGTGATCCCAGGATGTGTTCATAACTTACACCGTCGCATCAGCTGGACTCTTGTGAGCTGCCACAACGCCAAACATCCTTTGCTGTCACTCTGAAAAAGTGGTTTGCTAGCTACCAGAGCAAAAGGCTTTCTTCAAGACTGGGGCACCTAACCTTTGTAAAGTTCTTCTTGAAAACGTCAGGCTTCAGTTGATACAGTCTCTTTGCCACAGCATCTTGGGCATGTTAACGCAACACTTTGTAATGTCCTATCTGTCATTAAGAAAAACCTTTAATAAAACATAACATCTGTAGACTTGTCTCCTATGTTTTCTGTCACTTTGCTTTATTGCCTTGTGACATATTTTTACTTCAGATTTAAAAAGAGGAAGGATCTTGAAGAGTCTGTTACAGCTACAATAAAGGGAAGAGGGAAAGGACATGGCATAATTACTACTTGTCTAGTAGGGGGTAAAAGTGTTCTTATCAGTTGCTAATGCTTAGCAATTGTGACATTGCAGTAATGTAATCCGAGTTAGCCAAGACAGATTAGAAATAAGGAAAGATTTATTAGGCAGTCTGTGTCCTCTTAAACCCCTGCTTGGTTGTATTTATGGACACAGCTATTGTATTTTATTTCCTTTCCCTGAATGGCACCAGCAGAGTTGAAGTAGCTGAAGGATTCACACATGCCCTTTTCTTTCCTTTAGCTTTGGGATAAATTTGGCTCCTAAATTTTGGTTTGTTGTTTTGCTTTGGTGGTTTTGTTGTTTGGTTTTTTGTTTTTGTGTTTTTTTCCCAGTAATATGTTTCTAACTTTTTCTGGTCTTTTTCTACAGGGTCTGAGTATTTGTACTTCATGATTGGAAACCTCTTGAGTCAACACTGGTTATTTCCAAGCAAGTGTCTAAAAATACTGATGGAATTGGGAATGCACTTGGCAAGATCAGACTCCCCAGAAGGATGAGAGGAGCAAGTGCATGTGTGCCTGGCAGGGATGGACAAAGGCTAACAGGGGGTTGCAGGACCTGAACTGCTGCAATGCTGTGGGTTGGAGGCTCCACGTGTCCTCTTTCTGCTGTGAGAGATCTTGGCAGAGCTGCCTTCCCTCCTGTCTCTCCTGGCAGGGGGCGTGGGAGCTGAGAGAGACCCCAAGAGGCAATACTTGATGCTTAGTGCAGGTCATTTTCACACATCCACAGCAAGCCCAAGCCCAAACCCACTAGAGACAGCGGCTGACCATGTCACAGGACCCATCATAAATTCCCTAGCAGCTTTGTTCTTGCCTACACTAAGTATGGGAGGAGAAGTAATGTAACACTGCCCTTTTTCTCCCTTGTATGTCCTAATCTTGTTCCTGCTTCTCTTGTTTCTGGCAATAACTTAGAATACGGAGATATTTTTCAGCTGTATGTCCTGAGCCTCAAGCCCTAAGAAAAGGCCCTGGGTGCTGAACAGCAACTAACAATGCTATTTCTGGCTGCGCATAAGTCAGCGGAGATGTCCAACTGCCCAGATTCTGGAAGTGAAAGGCAGAAAAGATATTAGGCCAGACAGGAGCAAATTGAAGGCTAAACCTTTTGTTTCTCAAAGCTACTTTGTTAATGGGCTCTGTACTGCTAACTAGTCCATCGGCAGTTCACGTTGCAAAGAGCACAGCAATCGGTGACTAAAATAGGTACATCCCATCTCAGCTATGCTTGCTTATTCTGTCAGCTCCAGTAGGGCAAGAAATAGCTGTATCATACCAACTTGTCCTGCCACTTCTTAATTAATGCCCTCTTAGGAGATCAGGTTTTCGGACTGCTACCGTGGACAAAACCAGGGCTCTTGTCCATGAGCACTGCAGAACAATTAACAGCGCGAATTGTGGGCTCAAGCCTGAGGCAATAATGTGACGTTAGCCCTGGCAAAGCCTGCAGAGTGCCAAAGGCATGTCTGGGCGCAGGGTCCCTGTAAGGATCATGCTGCCTGTGGCTGCTTTGAGCATTTCAGTGAGTAGACAAATGCAGTGAATGAGAGATATTTTAGGGCTGTTCCCCTTCCTGTAACCTAGAAGAAAAAAATTTCAAAACCTGTGTCCTCCTTAACACCTACAAAATTCCCAGGCTCTGTGGTGGGAGCAAGTGGAGGACTTGGGAGTGAGGAGCAGGAATTCTTTGCAGGAGGAAAAGGAGAAGACATAGCAGCAGACTGACAGGTTTGCGAAAGAAGAAAGCACAAAAGTGAGAAAACTGCAGTTCCCCGAGATGTATGTCATTTTATCTATCATCAGATCCTAGGGAGTTTGACAAATACTCCAGCACCCAAGCACACTGCTGTGACTATACATGCTCTACTGTGTGTCCCTGTAGAGGTTTTGCTCCCCTTTTTCTGTCCTGGTCTTTTTTCCTCCCTCCCCTTTCCCCTACAACACCCCCCGAGCACCAGGACTGACAAAGGATCAGCAGGAACGGTAGCTTTGCATGGCAAATATAATACCTGCAAAACATACCACCTGTAAAATACGATACTGGATAAAAGAAGGGGACATTACAATTGATGCATTGAGGAAGGAGTTTGCTTCAGCCCTGCACTGGAGAGCAGCTGAAGCAGGTCTCCCCTGGGAACAGGAGGTTTGTGTATGCTCTGCCTCATGTCCTCATGTCAATCAGCTCCTTTTTATCTTAAAGTAAGTTTAAGCAGCAGATAGATTAATAGTGTCTGGCAGTTCTCCTCTTTATATGCTCCTGTTGTGCCCTCCTCACAGCCTTTGAGGAGCCAGAAATTATAAGGCTGGACCTGGGAATTCCTTGCTGGAATTTGACCTGGATGTTGACTTTAATCTCGTCCTACACAGGAAGGCTATCAAGGAAGCATTGCTCATGAATGATCATATTTTAAAGCTCATCTCACCCAGCTGGGCAGCGTTTTTACTGGGGCAACCAGCACTGAATTGCAGTGTGGTATGAGCATCACCTACTGAGGCAGCCTCTTGAAATATCCTGGAAGATGATCTGAGAACCCAAAAATATGACTCCACAGGGATGTTTTACAGAAAAAAAGCATAAAAATGAAAAGCAGGATTAGAGGCCTTCAGATGCAGCAGCATAAGATATCCTTAACATGTGTAGCCTAAAGGTATGTCCATTTGAGAAGACAGAGATATACTTGTATATACTAATATAGATCCACAGCCCTTCAAGACAACTATTGACCTATTATTCAGGAATTAGACTCAACAGTGGTGAGCCTTGTGTGAAGCCAAAGAAGTATACCAGTACTGATGGAGTAGATAGGATGAAGGCAAAGAAATGAGCTCTTCTGTTGAGTGTCTAAAGCCTGAAAGAGAAATGAAAGACATTTGCTTTTTTACTTTTGCAGTGTAAATGTAAGCTTTGAAATGCCTACTCTCCATTCAGATAAACCAAGGGAATGCACAAGAGGACTGACAGGAAGGACTGGGCAAGTTCTTGTATGTTACCCTATCCCACGATACTGCAGTGCACTGTACAGCTATAATTCTGCAGGTCACCTGTGAATTGAACAATGACAGGAATTTTTGATTTATAGATGATGACTGCCAGGCAGGTCAATGACTATGTCATTGGATAGGGACTCAACTCAGATGCTCGTGACATCCCATTCAAATGATGTTCTTCGGGCCATGGAGAATGGATCTTTCCAGCAAAAAGGGCTGTGGAGGAAGGGACTGAAGTGGCTAGCACAAAACACAACAGAGGTCTTAACTAACACAAGCTTCCCCAACATGAGGAAGAGCTGAGATTAGTGGCTTAAATCATTCAGGCAGACAGTTTAATAACCAAATATTAGCCACTGTCAGAGTGAGAAAGGGATCAGCAGTAATTTATTTAATGCATACATTTCACACCATCAGGGCAATCAACACTTCATGTAGGGAATAACAGTGGAGTCATTATGGCTGGTAGATGGAGTAGCTCTATGGAGCATATTTGGTCCAGGCCTGAAGAGGCAAGGCTGCAATGCTCTGTGTAGCATATGTTCATACTCTCAATGATGCTTAGCATTGCTTCATTGAGCGTTAGGTGCCTGTCACCAGCACAATGCTAATGCTAATGCTGTTCTGGCTTAGAAAGAACTAGGAGTAGGCTGGGATATTCCTGTGCTGCGTAGGAAGAGGAGCAATGTGTAGACAACAGAAGGAGGAGGACAACAATAAAGTTTGGTCAGAAGAGTACAGAGATCACAAAAAATGGGGGAGGGGGGATTGAGATAAAAAAATGTAAATTCAGGGCAAAGGTTTTTTGTGTTGTATGCTTCATTGAAAAGTGACTAAGGGTTGAGGACAGACTGTCCTGCTGGATTCTGGACAAATGTCAAGCCATGCATGTCCAGCCTGCAAGGGATGCAAAATGAGACATGTTATTGCTTGTATTTCCCTCCAGCAGCCTGTCAAAAGACATCTCCATCTGGCTGACCAGCCTGTACCTCCTGGGCATGGGTACAGAGAGGGGACTACTACGCAGTTACTCATATGAACGCACACAGACTCTGCAGACCACACTGAGCTCCAAGTCCCTGGGAGCCTTCACTAATCTGCACTGGCACAAAATGGGAAAAGATGCCAAAATCTAGCATGTAAAAAACACTGGTTTTGCTCCCTGGACACCCAAGGAAGCATGCTGCATACGATCTGTCTCCCAGTTTCCTGCTGTAAGTAAAATCAAACTCCTCTCTCCTGTTGCTTGCCACACTCAGAAGCCTTGACCCCAGGGACCACTGCTACACTGTGCTTGTGTCTCTTGCAGTGAACTCAGACAAGGCTCCTGCTACGAAGGGGACTGACTGGTTGACCAGTCAGCCAGTTTCAAGTTGATTTGCTTCACCCATTAGCAAAAACAAGTAGGATATCATTATATTGACCTATTCATCCAGAGGTATCAATGAAACAGAACTGAGCTGCATCCTACTAGGCTGTGATGTTTAAGTCCCAATGCCAGTGCAAAGAAAGGTAGGGGTTTAACAGAGAGAGCCTTTCTGCCTTCCCTACTCACAATCTCTTGCTAATGTCAACACAAATTATTCCTTAAATGACCAGGGAATTAATTCAAATCAGATCACTCTGTACAGAGGGACATTGCCCAGACTGGGAATCTCTGCAGACACGGAACTGCTTCAAAACCTAAGAGTTTCCAAACCTCTGCTCAAGATACTGCCAGACAGCAGTATGTCAGGATCAAACATTACCCCACAACAACGTGGGGAGAGAGGAGGGGCAGGAGGGCTCCAGAGGGTCATCACACTTCAAAGGATATTTGACAAAAATTAGCATAATGACACTCTCCATAGAGTCTGCATAATGCATGGTACCTATTCTGGTACCTTCCATTTAGAAATCTTTTGGAGACTCGTGAAAATAGGAAGTGGAAGAGTACAGTTTGCCTTTCCTATAAAGAGTACTGCAGCCCCGTGAACCTCCTCCATATACAAAGGCAGCCTGCTCATCTTGGCACTTCAGAGAGTCTTTTAGGGAGCTCTGATCCACTTTCTTGTTCTGGAATTCTTTTCTGCACTGTCCAACCCCTTGCAATATTACCCACAATGATTGCTTCATTTTCAGCTGCTACATCCATCCCCTGTGTGCTACTTGAGCACTCTGGGTTTTTCCCCCAGAACAGGTTGGCTGGAGGGGACCCTAAACCACTTTAACATCTGACCACAGCAGAAAGCACCACTCAAACCCCTGAAATCAGCATCACAATCTCCCTTCCAAAATAGATGAATTGTCCATCTAGTAAAGAAAGATTTTATGACAGATATGTCAATCAGAAGAGGTCTACCTGCTGATGCTGTGAGCCCCAGGCAAAATTCTCCCTGAGCCCAGCTGCTGCTTAGCCCATGCCCCCAAGCATGAATTCAGCTTTTCCCTGGCTAATATTGTTCACCTGGGCAGCCACAGGGAAATTACACTGAGACAGTTCTGTCCTTCTCTCACCACCTAAGTACAATATTAGTTGGCAGCTTCACTACAGACAGATGCAGCCAGGCCAGGCACTGCTTTTCTTACTCTCAGATTTTGGTCAGAGAAAGCAAAAGACACCCTTACTTGTCTAACATCAGCACATCTCTAACAGCAAAAATGCAATTCTCTTGTTCTGCTTTCATAGCAGATCTCTGGCATTGCTCTGTGGTTTTGATACAAGTACGGATAAGTAAAACCACAATGACTTTACAATATAACTCAATTTATGGATACATGCTTTTCTCTCCTTTAAACCAGTGTAACTAAAAGAACACTTTTGTTTCAACAGAGCTTTCTGCATTTGCATCATTATAACCCTTGACTACCAGGCTTGCAATTCCAGAAACTTCGGGTGCAGAACAGTTGTAATATATTCCTTTAGAAATTAGTTTATTAAACAACATTTTTTTTCACCAATCACCAGGCAATGTCACTGTGACTGCTGATTAAAAAAAAAAAAAAAAAAAGAAAGAAAGAAAAAGTCTAATTTAAATTTTAAAGATCACCTTCTATTGTTATTGGGAACTGAATATTTTTCATTAGGTACAAGAGTTATCACAGATACTTTCCACTAGAGACAGGAAAAATTCTGATAATTCATCACTCTATAAGGCTAATCTATTAATAAACCCAGAAACTCTTGTGGAGGCTGTTGGACAAAATAATTGAAATAAGGTGTGATTTAGCATTTGCAGCAGTCAGCTGAAGAGGGAACAATCTGTATAATGTCAGTTCACAGATGTGCAAATTCACTGGCTTTTGTAACAAAAGAACTTTTGCTGCAGTCTATACCTAAGAAGGAAAATTTCAGCTTTTACAACGGTGAAGGTGGAACAGGGGCTCGAGTACAGAATTGAAATGCTGATGTGAATATCCTGTCCTCGCCCCTCCTCATTCCCCAGGCACCCAATAGTCAAACTGGTACATTTTTCCCTTCTTGTTTTGAATTTCCACAAAATAAACATTTCCTCTTAGCCATACCCAGCAACACCGTATTTTATTTTTTTTCCCTATTGGCTACAAGAGCAACAATCTCAACAAGATAGTGCTGCTAAAATTGTGTATTGCTTTTTCTGCCTTGGTCACCCAGCCTGTTTAAAGTGTTCACTTAATTTCCTGCCAAAACTGTTGTCATATCAGTAGAAATCCAGCAAAATTACACTTTATATAAAAAATAATATTACTCTACACTTATATTTTAAAAATTAAGTGCAGAAAAATCTGAATCTCTAAGAAAGCCAGACAGTTCCTTGTTGCAATAAACCAGTTCACTATCCACATTGACTTTTCTCCAACCCTAACTCTCTCTTGTTTTATTCTCCAATAGAAGCACATCAATGAACTTATACTGTGAGCTTCTCTGTCTTGTTTATAATTTTCCAGTGTGAAAATGTTGTTGAAGTTGAATAATGTTTTCTGAACAGAACTGATTTATTGAATGGAGTGGGGTGCACTGATTATACGTTTGCATAAGGTTTCGGGATGTGAAATTTTCAAGTTTGCACTGGCAACTGTAAATTGGATTCTGCTAAGGGCTACCACGCATGATTTCTCTTTTACAGAGCAAGTTGTTCAAGGTTACTGAACCATGTACACCGTTGTGTTGTAGAAAAGGCTGCACTTCAACACAGCATAGCTGTACAGCAGCTCAGAAGAGCAGCTGGAGGGAGAGAGAAACAAAATGGTGTCACGGATCTCAGGGGGCTTTAGACAGCTGAGAACCTGCCATTTGCTTGTGTGGAAAGACTGGATCCAGGAGTACATTCCAAAGGATGGTACACATGGCTACAGCCCTGGGGTCCTCCCTCTAGCACATTCCCATGAGCTGGAGAAGGCTAGACCTTGGGCTAATGACTTTATCAGTTGTGATCAATCACTGAAGAGCAAAGCCAAGAAGGAAACCCACATAAATTCATTCCTTTTAACCAGAGGACAAGTCCTGCCTATAAATGATTGCGAGCATTGCCTAGTGGGTAGTAAGGAGCTATCTGAAGGACCATTTCTGCTCTATGCAATGCATATTTTGTTTGTTCTAGCTACAACCAGTATCAAGGGTACGAGGGCAAAAAGGGTAGAATTTGATCTCTACTCACATTTATGGGACAAAAGGACATCAAAAGAGTCTGCCCATCTTGATGCTTCTTCTGTTGACAGCCTTCTGTAAAGAAAGGAAGGGGTAAGTTACAGACAACCCATGGCCACTGGTTACCTCTACGGCTGTTTGACAAGGACACCAAGGAAGGCTGAATTCTCACTTAACATTGGAGGTCTACAATGTCAAGGTCTCCAGGTGAGCAAGTCACCTTGGCTCCCTTTAGAATCAGTGAGAGGAAACAGAGGGACCTACAGGGACTTGACTCTCTTCAGCTCACATCCCCAGGTAAGTGGGTAAAATAGGCCAGATGAATCACACTCAAAAAAGGACTAATTTTTCCTCACTGACTCTAAGCAGAGGCCCAGAGAACAAGTTCAGATGTAGATATTTACATTGTAAAAGCCAAAAGTCAAGCAAAATTAAACCCATCCCTGCAGGATTGTTAATCTCTCTTTCTTGACTTTCAAGGGAAGATTAAAGTCTTAGCTCAGGTCTAAGCAGTGACCTGTGAACACATTAATCCCATCCCACTCATCTCAAATCAGGACTCTGGATTGTCTGAAGCATCTATCTTAACTGTTGTGCAGACTAACACAGAACTTTCTGGGTAGTGCTTAATAGCAAGGCTTAGCTAAAGCAGACAGTGACCTGAAATTGCTGGTCACCACTTACACCGAGTCAACTGTTCAGACTTTGATTTGTGATGACAGAGGGGTAAATTACATCCTCAAATATGTGCAAACATGTTCCATGTACAGCAGTGGGGACAGTGCACATGTCCTGTCTCACAGGAGAACTCATATCAATGATCAGGGTATTTTCTGAAAATGCTGTTCCTTCTGTATCAGCACAGTTTTGTTTTCCTTCTTCCTTGTGGCTAAAAGAACCAGTCAAAGCTTATACGAAGTACAATAAAAGGAAGATAATACTGGAAGAGGTGGTGGGCAGGGAGGGGAAGGACAGAAATGGGGTTGGGGTGAGATGCTGCAGCTATACTCACTTCAAAGCCCGGTTGGGCTTGTCCGGAAGAATAGCTGTGAAATCATTATATGAGTCTGATTTGTGAGACAGGCAGCCCAGGCGAGTCCTCATTCCTCTGTTCCTGTGGTCAGTATGGGGGAGCAGGGGTGTAAGCAGGGGAAAACCAAAAAAGACACTGATTATAAGTCTAGCCAGAGCGGAAAAAAAAACAGACAACCAAACCAAACCAAAATAAAATAAAATAGAACAAAAAAAACACAGTGTCTCTGTGCCTCATCAGACCTGTGTCCTTGGTTCCCTCATCTGTGGGAGGGACCCTGAGACATCTTCAGTGAGATGCCAAACAGTCTCTAAGGACAGACAGTACCAGAGCAGCTGAAGGCTCACCCACACCAGTCATTCAGCTGCTCTGACTGGCAAAAAGACTTTCAAAGACTGTGCTTTGGGATGGTTTCTTGGAAATCCTGCTCTGGTGAGGTGTGGAAGGAGAGCAAAGGGCAGCAATACCGGAAATAAGTCACCATGATCCAGCAGCACCAGAAAAAGCCCAAATACCAGGGTTTGAGGGCAGGAGGGGGAGGGAGGAAAAATAGAGGGAGTAAGGCACCTACAAGGTGAGCCTGTGCAGCAGAGCCATGAAACTGTGGCTAGGATCAATCCCAAGTAGCTTCTTTAGACTCAGGGTTACATAAGCAGGTTAAAACTGCCTCTTTCCTGACAGGTTTATCCAGGCAGAAAATGGCTTTATTGCTTTTTTCCCTCTGAATTTCAAACCAGACTCAGAGCCTTTGTGCCTCCATCAGCCCCTCATGTCCTTGCCAGCCCCTTCCCAGGATAGAAAATGCTTCCACAGCATCCTTGATTACATAATCCTGGGACATGGAAGAACACAAAAGGAAAGGGGGAAAAAAAAACACATACATGCATTATACAGGACTGGCATCATTTCCTCTCAAAAACACAGAGATGCCTGTTAATGACTTTACGTGGTCTCTAGAAGGGAAGAGCATGTGGTTTGCCTCTCCAGCCCAAGGTCATCTCTTCTGCTAGATTCCCAAGACATCAAAAAAGGCCATCCTAGCCTCTGGACCACAGGAGGAAGATTTAGTGACCTACTCTCCACTTCTCAGCTGCTAGACACGCTTAGCTGAAGAAAGCCTTTCCCTGAGCCCTGCTGCCAAACAGATGCTAAATACTTTCTGTGACTGTAGAGGGAAGTACATTATTTTTCTCTTCCATATGTAATTCTTGCGGAACACTTCAGCACCAGCAACTGAGCCAATCTGTAGCATGCCTGTTTCCCCCTTCTCCTCCCGCCCTTCAGAGAGTTTCTATTATTGCACATTTTAATGTAATCTTAAAGCAAATTAAATGTTAATTAAATGCAATGAGTGTCTCCCTGGCGCAGCACAGGCAGCTCGCAGCAGTTAACAAGCACAAAAACCTGGAGATCTTCCGTTGCAGGAATTGTTGCACAGCCTCAAAATATGGACCCATGGTTAGTGGTTTTGGGATGCTACACTACATAAACCTCAAACATCAGTGCAACAATAGTGTGTGTAAAGTGCTGTGTTCCTGGCTGAGCATGCTGGACCTGCTGTGCTCAAACAGACATTGAGCCCACTACAGGATCTTTCTGGTACCTTTCCTGATACCTCCCACCTCCAACCTTTGTCTTGTCTGCACTATTTTTTCTAGCAAGCTCACGAATTTCGCAGTGAAAGGTGTGACACAGATTACCGCAGTGCTGCTCAGATTCCTCTCTGATGCCTGAGATCAAGGCACTGCAGCAGGGAATCAGAGTATTTGAGGGACAGAGACACTGCGCCACGTGCAAGGAACTTGTCTCTTGTGGAACACTGATCTCTAGGTGAGGACTTCCAAGACAGGACACAGGAGAGAGGAAAAAAATCTGGGTCTGTGGGAAGTGCAGAGGGCAGGGAAGGGCAGGAGGGAAGAGGGGCACCACAGCAAGCTGAAGGGCTTGCTGGACAAGGTAGGCAACGACAGGATGGGCAGGGATGAGAGATGCATCATGTCTTTTCAGTTACCTCCGTGGGATCAGTAAGGCAGCCATTCAGGCATCCAGTTATAGTTAATCCTTTAACTGGCTGGCTTGGACAGCAGTTGGGGCTGTTTGCAGGAGGCAGGAGTGCAGGAAGGAGGGATTTACTGTTTCATGTCCTAGCACTTAAAAATGTACCAAAGGATTCTCTGGAAAACAAAAGGAGGGCCAGTTGTTCTCAACCCATTTGATCCTTGCCTCCTAGCGCAGAAGGTCAGTTTTTCAGCGGAAGACGTTCAGAGTTAAGGGATGATCACAGTGGAGAAACAGCATTTCCTTCTAAGACCAAGACCGCAGGTTAAGTCCAACTTCAGGTCTAAAGTGATTTGAGTTTGGTGTCACAGCTCACCATGGAGCAGCAGGAGTTGGCATTATCGCACTCATCATTCAACACCTCTGAAGGTCTCTTTCCTCAACAGGCAGAGCTCCGAGCTGACCTCGCTAAGAAGACCAAACTACCTCTTGTCCCTGTCCTTCCAGGTCATGGCTGATGTTACTGGCCAGGCATCATGGAAAAGCTGGCACTGCAAATAGAATAAAGGAGGACTTTCATGTGTCTGCAGATGCTGGTCCTTTCACCATCACAGGCTTAAGCACTCATACAAAAATAACTCAAAGAAAGCATCTCCTCTTTGGGGTGGTGGGAGCCTGTGGGGAGCCACCAAGGAGATGTACAGTCTGCAAAGGGGAAGGAAGGAGGGAAGGAGGGAGGTACAGGGGAAGGAAGGGATGGTAAAGTCCCCGTGAGCCTTGGCACATGGTTAGCTGACTGAACAAATCTCACATCAGAGTGGGAAGGTGAGGTCCATCAGCCAGGAGACCAATGGAATAGAGCAGGACTGTATGGTGAGCTAAGGGCAAAGGTTTCTTATTTGCCAGGACAGGGCCAAGCTCCAGGTAATCTCCATGTCCTCTTGTCACAAGAAATAAATGGAGGAGGAGACAAAAGAACTGGTAAAAGTAGAGGCTGCGTGCAAAGGAACCAGGACCCTGCTCTGCTGGGGCCAGGGGAGATCCTAGAGCTTGGGCTGTCCAATGCAACGTCCCTTTTAAAATCTGATTACATTAAAAATGCACAAAGCCTCTTCCCAACTAAATTAATGGAACTGGGATTGTGCTACATGCCAGTGAGTGTATTTCCTTAATCCTTACCCCAACCGGCTGCTTCGATGCGCTTTAACTGAAATCAATCCTTGTAATTCCTTAAGCCCTTTCAAATTTTCTCATTAACAGCCTCACCCGCATGTGGGGCCATAGCACATGATTTTCTAGAGTCCAGCAGCCCCTACTCCTCTTTCCTGCTGCTATTGAAAAGCGATAGCTGGAAGCAGAGCTAGGTGCCCTCTCCCTTGCAGCCTCCTCTAGCAGCCTGCTTTTTGGGATACTGTTATGAAATAGCCTTCTGCTTGCCCCTGCTCCCACCCACTTGCCAGCCCCCGCAACAACAACCTGCACAGCTAGGCAGCATCAAACTTCCCTGTGATCCCAAAGTCTGTACAACTTCACAGATGCCAAGACCTACATTTCCTGTGAAGGCAATCCCACTGCTAAGCTGACATACCCACAGATATTTCCTCTGATTGCAAATAAAGCCAGTCAATTTTGACTTTAAAAATACAATCTGTGCTGTCTGGTAAAGGCATCCTGGTAGATGTCCATGGTGAGGTTTTTTGCGTCTCACTCCATCCTTCATCCTACCTCCCCCTCCTACGAAAGGACCCCAGTCAAGGAGAATTGCCAGTCTCATCATGAATGTGTTTTGGGCTTTCTCCTTGGGAGACAGAAAGGGTATGATTGTGACATGCAGGTTATCAAGCCACCCCAGGAGATCACCTGAGCAAAGATAAAGAAACCATCCCAATAGAAAAAAACAACAGCAGCACAAAGGTTAAAAACCCCACAACAAATGCAACAACAACAAAAAAAACCTAAATAAAACAAACCATGAGATCTCAGGGGCTTCAAGATATTAAGAGCATTCATTCAAATGCAGCGAAAGCCAGAAAAAACTGAACAGAGGCACTGCAGACAGAAAAAAAGATACTCACTGCCTTTGACCTGTCCTCTCTGCCAGTGGGTCTGTGCCGACAGCGTGGTCAGAGAGGCTCTGGGGAGAGAGCAGAATGGTCTTCTTCAGAGACAACCCCTTGCACAGGGTGAAAGTCTCACTTTGACACCCCTCCCCTCCCCACCTCTCTCCGGCCAGCAGCAGCGCAGCTCAGAGCAGCTCTCTCACATCCAGCAAACCCCTACAGCAGCCTCAAGCCAGCAGACTGATGCTCTGCTGTGCAGCTGGCTCCCACTGCTCATCAGCGGCACTGCCGGGGAGCCCACCAGAGCAGCACGTTTCGCTGCATCCCCTCCGCACCCACCTGGCAGCAAAAGCCCAGCTTCTCCCCCGTTGGAGATGGGGGACTGCTCTGCACGTGCGGTGGATGCCAAAGTCTGGCAGGGAGCATCTGGGGGTGGGGAGGGGGAGATGCCTGCAAAAGCACTCTCTGTTGTCACCCTCGGTATGTTGGAGAAAAGCATCCGCCTGCACCATTTTAATCGGCTCCTCTGAGGTTTAGGGAAGGTTGCTGCCCTCAGATCGCAGATCATCAGGAGTTGCCACAGACATTAGGGATGGGAGAGTTTAATTAAAGTGACCAGATGTCAGCAGGGCCAAATAAAATTTTGGCAACAGGCAAGGGAGGACCTTTCTGCAGGGTATGGGATGACAGAAGAAAAAAAATCCACTTGGCAAGTCACTAATGTGACTGACCCCTTGCATCCATCTCCCCCTTTCTCTCACCTGATGGGTGCAGTCCTGCTCACTCCCTGCAACCTCCCTCAGTGTGCTCACCCCATGGTTATAGGTTCCAATTCCCTTTTCACTCCTACACCCACACCTTCATCCTTCAAAGGATGCATATAGGACGTCCAGTGCCTCACCCCAGAGACTCTAACAACAACCTAACCCAGGGCTCCGACACAGTGCAGCTGCAGCACAGCCCCAACTCTCAGCTTAGCACAACATCTGGGTGTCACGCAGGCTGCACAGCCACTGCTGTGTGTCACTGACTCACTGAGAGCTCAAGCCATGGGATCTCCGTTGCTTTATTGCTTTCTTGAACATAATGATCAACTATAAACAAACAAACAAACAAACAAAAACAAACAAAAAAGGCCCTCTGCAGTTAAACAAATCATCATCCTTTTCCTGGAAACATGTAGCCTCTCCTCTGCTAAAAAACTGCTGTGCCTAACATCCTGGTGCTACTAGCAGGAAGCATGTCTTGAGATAGCACATTATCACCAGGCAACATCCCTAGGCAGAAACAGAATCTTGCAAAACTTACTACAAAAACAAAGGGATTAGTAGCACTGCAGTAATGATCCCAGCTCTCCATCAGCTTGGATCCTCTCTTTCACAGCTCAATGTGAAAAGGAAATATTTGCCTTGTTCGCATCCTCCCACCACAAAGCTCAGGTCATCCTGACTCAGGTTAATCATGTCTCCAGTTATCAGAAGACAAGCATTGAGAAAACACCATGGCAGATACAATCTCCTCTCAGCCCAGGTCAAAGGTTGAGGTTCATCTTACGCCTCTGCTATGACAGGCTGTTTTGTTCAAGTTAAATAACGCTCAGCTTCAGCCCTTGCCCCAAACATAAGGCAAATTTAATACAACATCACCAAGGGTTTAACTTCTGTGGGGTCATTTTTGTTCTAATGCATTTTCACATTTCCAGGTTCTCTCTGAGCAATTGCAGGATATCACAAGTGTTGTTTTTATAATACTTCCAGGGCAACTCTCAGATCTCATTTACACACACAGACACTGTGGGGCGGAGGAGGTCAACAAAATGTTATTCAACAAAGCTCTAGATAATTCTGGTCCCTGGACTTTGCTGCAGTCTCAAACAGATCAAAAACTCTGATCCACTAACTCTGGATGGGATAAATCAGAGGACCGCATGAGTGCTCCCACTTCTCCTCCTGCTTTTACACCAGTTTTCTATATTGCCATCTCACAGCCATCACCAACTTAGACAGAGACCGTATTTCTATATTCCTGTTTCTCCAATACATAAGTAAAACATTTTTGTGACCTCAGTGAGATCCTGTAACAACCCACAAACAACTCTGAACATCAAGTTTTTTCTTCTAGTTGTTGCAGCCAGGTGTGAGTTAATGCAGAGTAAAAAGAAGTGAACTGTGGTGACACGGGCACTATGGGAAATGTAATTAAATTGCAGGTAAAGAGAATTACATTTTTTACAGGGTAATATTTTAGAAAGCTTCTGTGCAGCAGAAGAGTTTTATGGCAAATTCCTTCTAAAACAGCTCTCCTGCTTTTCACTACTCTGTAGCTTCTATTTAAAAGCTTTTAATGAAAAAACTCATTTTGATATTAGGCTTGAATCCCATCCAAAATTTTAAATCTCTCCGACAAATACATTGAAGCAATTTCCTCATGACCTGCTAACAGCAAAGCACAAGTGGTGAACATGTGCAGCATTGGGAGTGTTGGTCTGTCACTGGGCAGGGTGGAAGGGAATTTGCCAGCCTGTTCCCTGGATGTTAACCTTCTCTCCACCATCTCAGGGTTGTTTTCACCCTCCCTATTATTTTAAGTACCTCCCTGCCTATTCCATGTGTTTTGTTCATTGATCATCATTCAAGTCTTTTCTACACAGAAACTTCTGGACCAAACACCTCCTACAGTTTCACTTGGTTGCAATTTCTGCCACCCAACTGCTAGATAGAATTGCATGGCCTGAAGATATCTCTTCCTTCCAGTACGTCTGTCGTTACACATCCAGCAGGATCACAAAGACAGCTTTGGCTGGTAGTTGTGTGGCTTTTGCCTCTCCAGATACAGAGATGCACCTCCCAGGGCTGGCAGCTAATCACCCTTCCCAGGTGGGAGCTGGAAGATCAGAGGATGCCTACACTGACTAGCTCATTTGCTTGGCTCACATCTCCAGTGGCTTTGCCTTAAACAAACTCCTTCACCTTGACATTTAAGCAGACTTCTCTGTGTCTTCTCACTCTTGCTCTGTTTCCACAGGGTCCGCTGCTGCTCTAGGATTCCATTATTCTATGCTTAACAAGCTGTCACACCAAGCCTGCCACTGTCACTTCCACTTCTCATTTCTGACTTTGTGCCCTTGTCATATTTACAGTGATCCATGCCACAGGGGCTTTGAACTTCTTTGGGGTTGCATTCTCTCTTCCTTTGTGACTTTTCCTGGGTCTGTGCCAGCATCTCTCTTTTCTAGTACTGTGCTGCAAGGAGCTTGTTCAAGGGTGTGCTTCACAACTTCCTAGCCCAAGAGGTTTTCCCTGATGCCAAGAAAGTGCTTATTCAGACTGCTGTGATGTTTGGCAGATACATCCTCACAGGTGGAATCATTCCTTGGAATGTTTTCATGAGATCCTGTTGCCTCTATGATCTCTCTGGAAGATGCTCAGTCATGTAGGTCCTGTGACTGCAAAACGCCAGTTACATGAGGTTGATTGCCTCCCGCAGTAGTGACTGCTTTGGGAATTCAGGTGGCCTGCATGCTGCAAAGCCTGCCTTCATCTCACCTACAAGCCTGCAGCACTTGGTCCACTTCTGGTGTGACATGAGGGGGCTTGATGGAGGACTGGAAAGAACAACCACCCTTGACCTGGAGTGACAATTCTAGCAAATCTCTAATGACACTAAGTGTCATTCGATGTCCTCTGACATATGGCCATTCAAAATTTATCCAGAATCCAGACTGCTACCTATATGGGCCTGACCCCAAGGTAATTCAGATTAATAGTTAATTTACCTCCAGAGCTTGCTGTTCTCTAACACTATTTGCAGTTAAAGCTGGAAGAAAATTTTTAGTAACAGACATGTGACATGCAATGTTATGCTCACTATGGCAGGCTGCCTGCCTGCTTGTTTGACAGTCCACTAGAAAACACACTTGGTCCAGCATAAGGTGACTGTCTGGGGAGGAAGAAATTACAACTGACATAGATACCTTCCTAAACTGCAAAACAAATCACAGACTTGTCTTACTCATGAAGAAAGCCACAAGAACAGATTCCCCCTCCTAAAAAGGAGCTCCATGAAATATCCAGACATGTAGCTCAGAGTGTCTTTAAGGGATTATTTTTTCTATTCACCTTAAATCTCAAATCATTCTCCACATCAGGCCAGGCAAGCATGAGAGCCTGAAGGGTGAAACAAGGAGAGCTTGAGTTTCAGGGGTAGGTGAGGAAACCAAGCAGCAGATATAACAGATGGGGGATTGATAGAAGAAGCCACTTCACATGTGCTAACAAGTGCAGGAAAGAGGAGACACCCACTGAGTTGAACTCCCCCTGAAAATAAAAGACTATGTTTAAAAATAAAAGTGAATTACATAAAGTGTGATCCACAGTTCTGTCTCTGGCTTAGCTTGAGAGCATGGCTATTTAAATTCTCCCCTGCATCAATGATAAAAGTGTCTCCTGGACATGTTTGTGGCTCTCAGGCACTGCGACTGCTGCAGCAGAACAGATGCCTCTGCTGCAAGATGGTTCCTGGCCCCAGCCTGTGTGGTCTCCACTCCGTCCCCAGTTCCTCCAGGCAGGTAGCAAGCAAAACCAACAGCTGAGCAGTGTGGGAGGCTCGAGGCTGAGAAAGACAATATGCAAGACAGGAATCAAGGGAAGAATTTTCCCTTTAGAGCCCTTTATTACAATTTCATAATTGTTCTCTGAGGAAACATGCTCCCATGCCCAGGAGCAGTTACACGTAAAGAAGCTAGTCAGTGCCTCTGTATGCGCACTGGAGAGGATGCTGTTAGTGTGGAGCAGGGAGGCAGAAAGGATCAGGCTTGACGCAGAACTGCTCTGTGCAGCCTTGGAGTCCTCTCAATTTTCAGCATCACTGCTGCTGTCAGTATGGCAGCATCTGTAACACCATCGGTGTGTATGGTTGGGAAGCCAAGACAGATCCACCCCAACAGACTAGTAATTTATTGAATGTTAGAAATGAGCCCCAAGATCTCAGGGTTGCAGTCATAAATCCATTTATGATGGACAAGGTCTACGCTTCTTCGCTCTTATCACTGTTATTTCAAAAACTCAGGCTCAACAAAGCATCCAGGTCCCACAGCAAGGATTTACTGGGGCTATTAACTAGTATATAGATACACAGTGTGGCTCCAGGAGGTCATTCCCACTGAGCACGTGCTTAACTTTAAACATGTGAGCAGTTGAATGGATATTTATACAATAAAATACAGAGTTAACTGCATGGTTGAGTTGGGATTTCTCTTTCATCTCCGGAGGCTGCTGCTCTAGCCGTAATTAAAACATAAATGAATTGAGTTAGATGGGCTCATCCTCATTCTCTGGCAAATGGAGATTCTTTCATAAAAATGTCTGCTGCATCCAGCACCAATCTCTCCTCAGGAGACTGTCCTGCAATCATTACCTGTGTCTTGCCAGTCTAGATAGAGATGCACACTGACCTCTGCCAGCACCTGCACCAGTCAAGCATGGGCAATGTTTCTAGAGCCACATGGAAGGACTGCAGGGCAAGGCCAGGCTTGTCCTGCTAGGCAGACTGTGCTGCTTCAGAGGAGCCCAGGACTGCAGGAACAAGTGAGCCTCAGAGAAGAGCAGCACAACAGGACAGTGAAAGGACAGCCCTTTATGCAATATGTACACTCCCCAGATGGGGGAATGCAGCTCTGCTCCTCTGGGACTGGGTGCAGCAATAACCAGACAGAGAGAAGATGCTAGCACAGTGGGTGCCTTGTATATCATAGCTGTGCCAAATTACCAGTCTATTTCCCCCACCCATCAAATGATGGCAAAGAGATGACCCTTGCTGCTGCAGCAGTCTCTGTGAGTTACAGCATCCCTGCAGTCAGGGCTGAAGAATAAGTAGCCCCACAAGTTAACTCCCCATTCTTCCCCCAAAGAGTGCACATGCTCCTGCCATCTGCAAGTTTTTGCTACAGTCTTTACTCAATGCTGTTCTCTTGCCATCAACATGCTGTCTTTTTGCTCCAAGTAGTCTTATTTTTAACTAGCTCAGTCGCAGCATTAACCCCGATGTTAGTCACAATGTCACAGATGATATCCAAATATCCAGAGGAAATACAATCCAACATTTTAAAATAACAAGGGGGGGGGGGGGACGGATGAAAGGATGGTGAAGATCGAAGAGCTGCAGGCACCAGCATAGGCTGATGTTTTCTCTCAGCATCAAAGGCCCACCGTTAATCCCATTGAAACGGAGATTACCCTAGAATGAGTCCTGTGCTCCTGTATCAGCCCAGATAGATCTGGGCTGGCTTAATTTATGAAATATGCTGCTCTCTTTCCCTGCCTGCTAATTAGAAGCAGTGCCTGTGTCCCTTTGACCATTCATAAGACACCACAGGAGATTAATGTGCTGGGAGAAGCACTGCCATGACATCAATAGGGGTGACATCTGAGCAGCACCCTTCCTCTCCTGTTTTGCCTGTGGAGCCATCTTTCCCACTGAAAACTGGGGCAAGTAAAAACCCCTCCCCCCAGGGACTCGTAAGCAAGCAAAGGACCACAGGGTCTTTCATCACCCACGAGGGCCCTCCTAGCTCTTACCTGTCTTGCAGCTGGCAGTAGGGTGGTGGCTACGTGGCTTTTGGTGCTTGATGGACACAGCTGGTTGGAACCCTGAGGAACAGTGTCTGCAGACTCCCGATGCATCGGGGAGGGTGAAGGGCCCAGCCCTGCCACAGTTACCTCTGGAGGAGCAGCAGCACTGTGCCACTTTTCCTGGCTCTCTAGCCCTGTATCTCATGAAAAGAATAGGAGCTGGTGGAAGGAGGGGGGTTACGAAAGAGAGGGAAGGGGGAGAAGGGAGAACAAGAGCGCGCACTCTCGCAAACGCACACACACAGAGCAGACAGAGGCTTGTATAGGATGGCACTGCCTGACTTGCTCTCATTATTGCTGCAGGCTGGCTGCTGCCCGTGGAGAACTTGCCAGCATCTGCTGCTGGCCAGGGGCATGGTGGGGAAAAGAGACAGGGAAGAGATTAAGACCTCACAGACCATTGGAGCAAGGAAAACTACCACCTAGGCACCAGGGGTTTTGTTTTCTGTCTTTGCTTTTACCTGGGAGGGGAAATGCCATACCAAAGGGCTGGAAGGGATTGCAGTGATGGAGTTCAGCTTTTCCTTGATGACTCCTTTCTCCTTTGAACATAAAAAGAAGCCCCAGCCCCAGTCCTCTGCAGTTGCACCAAGGGATGTTGTAAGGCTAGCCTGACCCAGAGGTTTTGGAGATAGTATTGCACCAAGACAGACAGAAAGTGGGTTGCAAATATCCAAAACACCAGCATCACATAAAGCTCACCCTTCCCCTCTCATTCCCATTATCCAGGTCATGTCAATACAGGTCCAAAGGCCTGGCAGGAGAGTGTGGAAAGGCATTCAAGCCATAATACCTCCCCCTTGCATGTTGCACAGAAAGCTGTATGTATGTGCATGCTGCACAGAGCTGCCTGCAGTCCCTGACACTGCTGATCTGCTGCAATGACAGACCCAAAATGCCAGGGATTCAAAGACATAGTGTAATCCTCCCCGAAGGGGCACTAATTCCTCAATCCACAGATTTTTACAATGTGCTTTTCTAAAGCATCACATGCTTAGAGGCTGGTGCCCCTTTGCAAGGAAGTAAGAGATTTGGCCCTGATTCCTTTTTCAGCTTTGTGAAAGACCCACACCTCCTCCCCTCCTCCTTCCTTAGTGGCTTACCACTCAGAGGGGCTGGGTCTTGCCTGGGGTGCTCAGTTTGGTCAGAAGGATTAAAATGACAGCAAAATCAGATACCTAAGGTACTATACGCTCCCCTGAAACACCCAAGTCACCTGTTCACTGCAGCTCCCTACTCTACCGTCTCCTATTGGTGATTTCAGAGATGCGTGTATATCTAGCCATAAGGCTGCTGTTAATAAAAATCAACGTATGGCATGCATTGAATTACAAGTGCAGGAAGTCTCCTAGTCGATACTCTCTACAGCAGTTAACCTAAAAGTACACCACGTTGCCAAGCCCATCTCTAACGCACCTTAAGGACTCACCTGAGATCACAGTGCAACAGAGCAGGATAGGACACAGTCCTACTGAGCCAAAATCCAGCACACAAGCCACCTACCTGCTCAGCTGGCCTCAGGACATTGGTGCCCAGCTCCAGGAAACATCTCTCTTGTGAGTCACTCTGCCAGGAGCTGTCAGAATATATTTTCAGTCACAGCATGCCATCAGCCCTAGAACACTAAAGGTCTCATTGTAGATCCATAGTTACAGTTGGTTCCTCTGACTGTAGCAGCAGATACATTGTCTCAGGGGATGATGGTTTCAGGACCTAAAATCAGGAATCCTTATTCCCACCACAAGAGGAGTAGGAGGCTGAGATGTAAAGCTATGCCAGGATCCTGACCGTTTCCCCAGTATGCAGAAACTCCAGCAGCACTGGGGAGCTGGATCCTTTGAGGCTGCTGAAGTAGAGAGTAGTATCACTGCAAGGGTGGGCATGGACATCTTTTTTGTGGGCATGGACATCTTTTTCCCAGCTCTGTGCATGTGTATTATATATATCACTAATAAAGCCTGCTGGAGTCTCAGTGGGTGCATGTCAGCTGTCTTACACCCCAAGGCTGGGAGATTTCCAAATGACATCTGCTCTCTATAGGGCTGTTTTAATGCAGATATGCTGCAGTGCAATCTCCTAGTTGAAAGCAGAGTAGGCATGAACCATCTTTGGGGAAAATAATACCCATATCTGTGGCTTCTGGAGAGTGAGAACATCTGTTCTGTGCCCCAAAGCATGCAGCCAAACTTTCAGTTTCCAGGATGCCATGCAGCCTGCCAGGAAGGCAGACCCTCCAGCATCCTTGCAGCTGGGGTCTGACTTTCCATGGGGAAAAAAAGGACAAGGCATTTCAGATGATCTGCAGCACAGTGTCCAGGACTTTGCAGAGTCATGTCACTCACAAAGAGACATTGGCTGTGCCAATGTCCATCACCACTGTAAAGGCTTTATACCATCAGGGATGGCTTCTCCCTGGGTGATCCAGGATCCTGGGTGATCCAGCTGCATGTGAAAAATCAGAGGGTTTGTTTTGTATGTGTGCAAAAGGCTAAACTTAGCAAGATTCATTTGTGAGGGGAAAATAGGCCATATTTATGTAACTGTGAAAAGCTGCAGTGAAGGCTACGGATCCAATGGGAGAGGAGTGTATGTTCAGAGCTAATGACAAACGCTGCTATGCACTCGGCTTTGTTGAGAGCTTCAGTAACTGCATATTCATCACCCTACACACCAGAGAAACGGCTTTGAGGCATTCCAGGCTAAGAATAGAGGTCTTGTTGTGTTTGCTGCTCCACGACCCTTTTTTTGTCCAGAATTAGAGGAAACAGGGTAAGGAAGCCCAGCTGAACCAGCGCTGCAAATGGCAGCATCCATGCATGCCTATGAGCAGTGCAGGGCCCTTGACTCAGCAGGGGTGGAGAGCACTGAATAAAGGGCAAATTCATTCACAGCCATACAGGATGGCATTAGTGCTGGCCCTCTGCTCACAGAGACATCCCCTGTGGTGGATGGGGTACTCACAAAACATAGCTCCCTTGTGAATAAACAAAACCCAAGCATCTTGCAAAGCAGGCAGCTGGGGCAGTGACAGTACTGAAATTAGCAGCTCATCCTGGCTGTGAAATCTGATGGCTTGGTTCTACCTCAGGAACCCTGGTACCTGCAGGGACAGACAGCTTCACCAGCAGCTGCTTGCCAGTGACATTTTTCTCCCCTTCCCCTCACACACACATATTCTGCCCTACTTAAACCAGGTTGTGAATCCAGTAATACCCAGCCTAGAAATATAAACCTCAGAGCTAGTCACCCAGGTGTTCTTCAGACACCCCACACCTTTAAGAGATCCAGAAACAATCATGTGGCAGTGCTGGCACTTGCGGGAAAAAACAACATGATGCTGCTACTTGTCTGATTTTGCATGTGTGACCCTTTTATTGGCTAAATGGGTCTTGAAAATGGTGGAAAAGGCAAGCTCACTCCTATGGGGAAATGAAGGGAAAAACCACAGAAGCGTGGATGCTTCTGTGGCTTCTGCTCCGTTAGTCCCACATCCTGGGGCCATGTTCCTGAACACCTATTTGAAAACAGCAAGGGAGGAGACTTCCAGAAAGGATGGTGACGAAGGACTCTGAATGTCTGTAAGCAGAGTCCAAGCCAAGGGTAGTAATGAACAAAGGCATGGACCGCAGACAGCTGTATTGTAACTTCTGTGTGCCTGGGAGGTAAGGGAGACAACCACGTCACAGGGGACCAACAGACCCAAGGCCTCAAAGAGTATTGTGTTGTTTTCAAAAAAATGGAGACAGAAATAAGTTTTCTGAAACATACAAGAAAATGCTCTGCAAAATAGATTCATCTCCTTAGGAAAAGCATAGTCTCCGGAGAAAGTCTATCTTGCTAGAACATCGCATAACAACTCTCTTAGGAAAGACTATTGAGATAACCTGTCTCTCTCCCCTAAAATAAATGGCCCTGAGAGCAATACTCTTGATAAAGCATTTCTGGGGAAAAAGTCTTAAAAAAAAACAAACAAACCAAACAAACAAAAGTGTTAATTCTGCATTTACCCTTGCTGCTGCAGCAGCAGCAGCACACAGAACTCAGAGGTGAGCCATCATCTTCCAATGCTCCTTCCTAATCACAGCTGAGAAGGATATAACAACCTTCCTGCTGGTCTCTCCTTTCCTTCAGCTGTAGCTCACTGCTCACTCAAACTAACCTGCTGTGAGCAGCAACACTGCAAAACGTGTTTTGGATTTGTATTCTGGCTTTGTGGTGCACAACAACAGGGGACTTCCCATCTGCTGCCGTTTGTTTAGCCCTTGCATTGCTAAACTAACATCTGGGAAAACTGATGAGCCTCTATTTAAAGAGTGGTGCACTTGGAGAGGAGATGTCTGTCTAATTTGTCTTTCAGACTTCTATCAGTGCAGCCCAGGAAAACATGGAGCCATGTTGTAAGGCAGCAGAAAGTCCCTTATAAGTAGCCATGAGCTGGGAAGATCTTTCCCCTATGGGACAAATCCAGCAGGCAAGGCAGCCCCCATAATCAATGCTAGGGGTGAGACAGGGCTGGCTCTGGTGCTTGAGGTTGACTTTTACCTTCCTCCCTCCTTGCCAGCCTAACCTGTCACTTGTCTGACATCAACCCTGCTACCTTCTTAGCTTTCACTGAAACTGCCTCCAAGACTGAGAACAGTGTAATCCTCTCTCTCTAATTTTCTGCCACTTCTCCAAGGGATTCAGTGTCCAAGGGCCTAATGCCTAACTTCAATGCAGCCCAGCTCTGGAAAATAGGGAGAAATTGCCGAGAAGCGAAAAAAAAAAAATATATAAACCAGAGTTATGCCAGATAAGACAAAGTTACAGAATTGTTGCAGCTGGGGAAGCCAGGAGCTCAAAGATTCAAGGGGAAGACATCAATATCGAAAATTCTATAAGAAATACTCATGGAGGCAGAGGACAGCAACTGAGCACCACTAAGGATCTGCTGCAGGGAGCACTGGAGACCAACTTTTCTGCTTCTGGCAATGCCTATGGGGCCAGCAAAGGCTCTTTGGATGTCTTTGGAAAAGGACGGTAGAAGCATACCAACACCTGACATAGCAGCTTGTACTAATGCTTGGTCTACCAGTGTGTTAAAAACTATGTTCCTCCCTTTGTGTTAAAGCCATAAAGCTGTATTTATTAGCCAAATTGTGTATCTCCTGCTTGCAGCCTTCTTATGCATGACTAAAATTGTCCAAATAAGGTGACCCACAGAAAGTGGGTTGTATTTCAGGATTTTCCCATCATCTGCCTTTGCAAATATGCTGTTTGCCTGACAGCAGGCAGATGAAGTCCCCACAGTTTCATGGGCAAGTGAAGTTGATCCAGACCCAGATGATCCTGAGCTCAGACTGCCTACAAAGGCAGCATGGATGCAAATTCTAGGAATCCTGTGGACTTCAGGGAGCACCCAGAATATGCAACAAAGGCATGATGTGAATAGCCCGTCTGCTCTGTAAAAAAATCCAGTATTAACTGTCAAATTAACCTGTTATGCCAATTAACACTGGCATAACAGGTCAACTCTGCATGGGCTAGGAATTGAGCTTTAGGGCTGCACCATACTTGACACCAAAAAAGAGAACCCAAGTTGTTCACCCAGTCAGCTCTCTGGTATCAGTCTCTGCCTTCCCTTCTTGCAGACAGGAGGAAACAGCTTTTCTGTATCAAAAGAGAATCATTTGACACCCAAGTCACAAGGCAGCAAGCAAACAGCGGTGCTTTTTGCCAGTCCAGAAGCACAGACTGAGAATTATGGCAGCATGCAGGTTCTCTTCAAGAGCACAGCTGCAAACGCAAAAATCAGGTATTATAGCTGAGACCACACCATGCTGAACAGAAAGAGACAGCTATGCCTGTTTTGCTTTCTGAATAACTGTTTACACCCCAGCGTGGTATTTGCTTTTTCACAATAGGACAAGCTTGTTGACTCATGTTTAGCTTGTGACCCAGTATAAACACCAGCAGTTTCTGCTGTCAGAACAGACAGCATCTGCTGCTGTCTACAGAGCTGTTTTTTTTCTCTTAAATACAGAAACTTGCATTTATCTGCACTGCATGGCATCCTAGTTTTCCCATGAACATTTCTGCATTTGTCAAGGTTTGAATTCCAGCCATACCACTCTTCAATACCCTACAGATTCTTCAAATCTGTAATAGTTTGTTAATAAATATATTAAAATTACATTTTCTGTTTACCATCCAAGACTGAAAGAAAGGTTCCTCCGACAAGCACCTCAAAATATACATTTATGTTCCCCCCTCCCCAGGTAGAATCATAAACCATTCTGTATCCAGTTTCATCTAGAGTCACATCAGGTATGACTATGCCAGAAAGACTGTGTATTTGTCATGTACTGCCTCTCCCCTAGCAATAAGACCTTCTAATCTTGTCATAGGATGATAATACTTTGGCTTGAGCTGACTTTCCTCAAAAAACCCTCAAACTTAAAAGCAGCCTGGAAGATGCTGGATGTTTCAGATTGTTGTGTTTGTTTTGTTTTTTTGTGGGTTTTTTTTAAATGTAAATGAAAATTAAACTGATCTGTAGCTACCCTGGTCCTCTTTGTCTTCCTTCTAGATACAGGTACTGCACAATGTTTATGGCAGTCAGGTTCTCCACCTGTC